GTGTGTTGGTGGTCGTGGGTGAGCTGTTTTGTGGAGGAGTGGGTGGGGGAGGAGGGTAGGGGAGAGAGCGAGTGAGGAGGGGGGGGGGGGGGGGGGGGGGGGGGGGGGGGGGGGCTGAAAATTTTGTCTGTGTACTCGGGGGCTTTAGAGCGAGATCAGGCTCTCAAGGACAAGCTCTACTCCTAAGATTTTGTACATTCTAAAATTTTTTCTTGCACTTAGCTATTGATGGCAATTTCACACCCTGGGTGGAGGAGTGCTGCAGTCAGACGTGTGGTGGAGGAGTCAAAAAATGGAAAAGGACTTGTACCAATCCCTCGCCACAGTACGGAGGCAAACCATGCGAGGGCTCCACGGAGAAAACCGAAATTTGCAATGCAGGCCCGTGCGGTAAGTTAAGAAAAAGTTTATAAATTTTTCTCTCCTTCTTTTATTGAATTATTGAATTATTTATTTATTTCAAACAGAGCGATGAATTTCAAAATCCTGTCTTGTGAGAACATTAACCGCAGCGACAAAGCCAGCGTCGTTATATTTGTTTTCTTTTCTTCTTTTGTGAATAGTTAAGTGTTGTAAACAAGGATTAGCTTAAGGATCGCGTTTGTAACTTAGAGCGAACAGTTTTCCCCCTAATCTGATTAGCTGATAGACATCAGCTTATGAAGTCAATGAATCATCACAATAATATACTTCAATCAGCTGCTAGTAGGTGCAGATTCATAACTAGCCTGCGAGCAAGCTCTCCGAGGCGCTCTGGGGGCGGGAGGAAAAGGAAGGAGGGGCTTCCGACTACAAATCTGGAATTTTAATTCCACATCCAATTCTCCTGTGACTCTCCCTGTCGTCTGAGCTGTCAGTTTTCCGCCAATCAGCGCGAAGCGGAAACGAGCTGGAATGTACACGTACCAAGGGGTAATAACGTTATTACTAATGTCATCTCCGCCAATCAGCATTTCGCATCTACGCTTTCGATGCAGATATTCAAATTTGAGAGACGTATTGCAAGCTCTCCTTCCTTATCCTCTCCGCCGCCAGAACAGCCCGGACAGCTTGCTCGCGGCATGTACCTAACATATACTCCTCTGTATGTCTTATTTTCACAGATTCCTATTCCTCGACTGAAGGTAGTGCTACAGGCGTTGCAGTATAAGGACGCTATGGACTTATTGATCACTTGTTTCCCTAACTAACTGAATATACAGGTGCAAAACTGATACAAATGCCGTGAGCTCAGTCAACCGAGCTATATGTCAACGGTGTGGGGATTGGAAATAATAATAATCACTGTCACTTAAAGGGTATTATGAAATAAACAGTGGGAGAGCCTAGAATTGTATTATGATTGAGGTTCCTCTTTTAGGCACCGGCATAAGGTCCTTTCAACCAAAAGCGGGACAATGAAGCTGAAAGGTTTATTTACGCTCTCGCCAAACAAAATCGCCAGCTACTCAGGCTACTTTATGAACGACCCAAATCCTAGGGGAGGGGTCTATAATGATAATATAATTCCTTTTACTCACACTTACCCTCGGCAGTATTTATAGCACTTATGCTATTGGGGCCGAGCAAATGACAAAAACGAGTAATTCAAATCAAACATAATAGGGTTAAGAACCCCAAATGACCGAAGGCAAACCAGCTGGCTATTTACAAGCGTGGTCGAGGATTTGAACTTGGCACTTCCGCGAACAAATCCAGCTAGCGGTCAGGGCAGGACGTGAATATTCGGGGCCTCAAAAATGCAAGTTCAGCGCCGTAACCGCTCGGTCACGCTGCCGCTCCTACAATACTAGACCATACTACTACCAAATGAGTTGCCATTTTAACCTTCAGCGCTCTTCATTAGTATTTGGAGCAATTCACAAAGGTTACTTTGAATTAGTCAACCCAAGAGACTATAAAGGGGATAGAGAGGCCATCCCCCATATACACTCTATTCCATAGGTAATTCGTCTCGAGTTATTTTTAACACCACAGATCTCAAGGGGGATTAGACAACAGCCAATCACATAGCGCGAATGTGTTCTGCGTGGATGACCCACGCTGAGAGCCACGCGTCCTTCACGAAATGACGCAAAACAAAGTGGGGGAAGACGCGGAGAGCGATTTTGCTATTCCTTTTGTCGACGAAAACGACTACAGCAAGATTTCTGCGAAAGCTGTGTCAGCGAAACCGAAATTAAAAAAGAATCGCCCTTCCTCTCTTGTATAGAGCTAACAGTAGAGCAGGGAAATCCTTAACACACTGAATATTCTCTCAGGATCATTTATAATTTACAGTTTGAAGAGAGCAATTTCTGGTTTGATGTTTATTTTTTTCAGTCTTTATAGCGATTATTCCTACCCACCTACTTTGTCAACTGTAGGCGAACCCTCCTAAAGCTGAATTTCAAGGGACCATATTCAAGCTCAGAAAGAGAAATAAAATTTCGTCGTTGCTTATTTACGTCCTCCATAAAACGCGAAATTAGGCATTTTCACGTCGTAGTCGTGCAAAAACGGGAAAGAAATGAACAAAAAAGTGTGTTGCACGTGCGAAGTTGTTTTTTTGCTAATTAAGCCTATTGTTTTTTTGATGTTCTAGTTGTCGTCCGCGTCGTTGGATCTTAAACTCCCTAAATTGTACAAACGACCGGTTTCAATAGACCGGCGAAATTTCTCATTTTATTAAAGCACTGAGGTTACGACAACTTCGAGTTAAACTGATTTCACGGGTTGTCAAAGAGTCCAGCGATTCCTTTTTCCCAAGTGAGCGCCGACTCATTTCGCTTCAATATTCAGGAATGCTCTTGATCTTTTTACGCTTTAATTGCCTCTCGCCCGACATGTTTTGCACGACGTTTGGTCATGCGAAACCTCCACGAAACATCCACGCCTCGCGCGAGGTAACTTTATCTCGATTCTAAAAATAACTCGAGACGAATTACCTATGGAATAGGGTGTATATGGGGGATGGCCTCTCTGTCCCCTTTATAGTCTCTTGGTCAACCTTATTCCTAAGAAAGACACCGGGAACGAGGCTCTGAGAAATCCATTTTTCTGCCACACAGTGTACTTAGACAAGAACAGTTTTAAGGTGGCCTAAATCTTTTACGCATTATTCGACGAGCTCGAAGAGGAACATATCGCAAATCCTTTGCCACGTGCCATTCACCTTCGTTTTTAATTTTGTCATGCTTGTCAATCCCAGTTTCTCTTAGTTTCGCCATACGTTTTCTCCTGAGATGTGCGAGGAAATCATTCTCCGTTCTGACTAAGTTTTCACAGAGGCGCTTTGAATTTTCATCAAGATCATTTCTAATTGAATAGCCCTTTACAAATTTGTTATGATAAGCTCTTTGGATTCGAGTACCATTGATCAAGCATAATTGCTGTATTTCCTGTTTTCTCTGACGAAAAGTACTCAGTTCCTCATAAAAGCTTGGTCCTTCTTTCTTTACTCTTCTCCAAAACGTTGCGTTAAAATAATCGAATAACAAAACGTCTGCTTTATTCCATCGCCTTATATTTTCTTTAACTCTTGCACTTAAACGAGTAGCTTTTTCCTTGTCTTGTCGCTCATTGAGCTTTACGTACAAAATGTCCTCTATCTTCCAACATAGCAATCTCTTCATTAACAGCAGCGACTCATCAAAGTAGTCCATAATCATGACAAGATCAAATTCATTGTCAAGGAACTGAATGTACTCTTTAAGAGCTGTGAGGTTTTGGAAATACTCAAACCTCAAACCCAAATCAAACATACAATACTCGCCTTACGAGAATGGTCATAAGATTGTATTGGTTTATTTAGAAATTTTTGCAAGGAGTCGAGCGTAACTCCCAAACCAAACGATTTTCCTAGTTGAGCAAAGTTGAAAGCAGACTCGTAGTTGTCTACAGGGTTTCTGAGAATTGTAACGTACTTGCTAGTTTTTCGTGGAAAAAGCCAGTTCATTGGTTCCTTGTTAAATCTTGCATGACTGCAGAGTATATCAGGAGCTTTGCCAAACGTACGGAGAGGGTGGAGAATGTGAAATTTCTCAGGCCAGCCGAGAATGGTGTCATCCCCTAGAGCAAATGTAAGATTCCTGGCGTCTCCATAACGAAAGAAGATGTTAGCCATGGTGCTCGATCCAGTTTTGTGCGTTTTGAGAAAAAGAATCTGCTTTTGTGGGAAACATTTAGTTTCATTCTCAGCCGCCGACCAAAGACTGCTTGTGTTGACTTGTTTGCTCCTGTTACAAAAAAAGGAAGAAGATATAAAATAACTGGACCTTGGGCTGGTCCGAGTGCGTAGGCAGTTTCGTCTAATGTAAGGGAATACGGATTCCGGAATCCGGGGAATTTTTGCTTGTGGAATTTCCAGAAAACTTTACTTGTGGAACCGGAATCCTGGGCTTTAGAATCCGGAATACAGCTAAAGGAATCCAGAATCCCACTAACAATTGGAATTCAGTATCCAAGTTCCACTAACAAAGACTGGAATCCAGTACCTGAAATCATATGAAGAATTATGGAGATCTCGAAGGGTGTTATCCGCCTCGGCCTACGGCCTCGAGATCGACGGATAACACCCTCCTCGATCTCCATAATTCTTCGTAAGATACTCAACCTCATACATTCATTGTTAAATATTCAACGGTTACTCCGTACTGTGATAAAGTTGCATTTTGTTAAAGAAGCTATCCAGAGTTCAAGTTTATTACCTTTCATTACCAACTTTAATGTGTTTGTAAATGCAAAAACATTAACTGACTTCAGTCCGTATTTCAAGGACGTGATCCAACACTGCTATTGTCAATTCAGCCCGGTGTCCGCTTAATAGCGATTGTTAACAATAGAAATTAGCTAAATACACCTTATTTTATAGCCTTTGGGGTTCGTCTTCGGGGAGGCTACTTATTTTAGTGTCTGTGTCCGCTTAATAGAGTTGTCTGCTGAATAGGGGTTCGTTATAAAGGTAAATATAAGACGTTAATTTCGGGACCTGGCTTATAGTGTCTGCTTAATAGAGGGTGTCCGCTTAATTGGGGGTCCGCTTAATAGAGGTTTCACTGTATTGCAATGATTGTTAAGAAATGGTCTCCTGAAAGTTTCGGCCTAGTTCCGGATGAGACAAAAAGGGGAACCTGAAACAGTTTCGAGACGATCAAATATTCCCTAAGACATCAGAGCAGATTGATAATAACTTTGAGGGTAGCTTCAAATTAACCAAATAGGCCTCTAAGAATGAGATAAAACCATTTGAGACACTCCGGGGCACTTCCTTCTGACGTATCGAGTCCACTACAGTGCCTATGGGCCGAGTATCCACTGATGATTAATATACGAATGGCACTGCCAGTAATCTCTGCAGAACACAAATCACTAGAAATGCCTATATCACGTACATTTTTGCAGAAATCGGCACAAAAATGGTTGTCAGTTTTTTTCTACCGTTACTCACAGATTGCATGAGTAAAGGCAAACAAAAACAAATATTCCAGTCATCACACAGAGTTCTCTTCACTGCAGTCGCACACAAAAACAGCCTTTAGGTCGTTTTATTTAGGGAATTCCGCTAAAGTTGGTTTGATTTAGTTCGGCTTGATTTTGCGTTGTTAGTGACCCTAAAACACATCCGCAAAATGTTCTCAAACGGACTTATCGACCCTAGCATTTCACTACGGGTCACGAAAACTTGATCTACCTTTATTTTAACTGATGAGAACCAGTCCGTAAGTCAGGGGCACCCGATGACTGCATGTGTTCTCGACTGTAAAATATCTGTTCGGAAAAGCAAATATTGCCGCTGACACGGATAAGCCTACACTCGTGAATCCTTTAAGGTTTTTCCATTGTCACTAGGCATTTAAGGTGATTCCCTGGTTTTGCATTGCGCATCTCTTACTGCGCATAACAAGATGGCCTCCGTAAAAAAGAGCATGTGAAGTAACATTATTGAAATGAAGTTGACCGAAGAGAAATGCTATTGCAATTTTTGCTTGTGGTTGTCTCTTGCCGAGGTTAGACTCAATGTGGTGGGAATGTGCATAACGTAAGCAGTACGCGTGTTGCTGAGTTCGACTTCCTCACGGAGAACCTCGATAGTGGATGTTTAATTTGTGCTTATTCACTTTGATTTTCATTTAAACGCTTTCTTTATCACATTGTGTACTAAATGTGATATCTCGATGTAATTTCTGTAAAAACAGATTTTTTAATACTTTCTTCCCCCTTTCACATACATTCTTTTTTGAAACTCGCCCTAGTCCTCTCTCAAAAATCAAGGAAAATGCATTTGGTGCGCACTTCCTGCAGCTCTACCGCAAAAACGAACACGGTGACCCCCATTTTTTATTTCATGATTTTAATAAGGACAGTGCTTCCTTTCGGTGAGAAAAAAATTGACACAAATCTATGTTCAGTTTTGTGGCAATTTTACTAAATTGTACGGATTGAGCTATCACGTGTCGAATAGCGCGTGTCCAATTTAATTCTACTTTGGAGCGTAAAGTAAAAACAAGGGCATTAACCCATTCGCTCCTGGAGATTTTGCCGAAAAACGCGTTTTAAAGCTAGTCGAGTGGTTTTCTGGTCACTGTCGTGCTATAAAGAGCTAAAACTTACCTCAAACCGGTTTACAGGTCGTAGACTTCATGGCCTTCTGATCCAGATGCAAAATATCAGCTTGCGAAGTTCGGGCATGCGCAGAAAGCAAAATTTCGAGTGACACAGCAGTCTTGACTTTTACTTTTCGCTTTCTCTCCTCCCCTCTTTTTTCGCTTTTCTTGCCTCATTTTTTTTTTCTCTTGCTGGACGTTTAGTAGGCTTCATTTTGGTGGGAATAGTTTTTAGGAAAGCTTTTAGGATCTTAGGATTAGGTTAAAGGAAAGGTAGGAAGCAATGGAACAAGATTTTCATGGAGATTTTCAGGGCAATGCTACATGGTTTTTTGCCTCTTTCTCCGGTGTCCTTGACTGAATTGTGCTCATTCTGGTATGGTTTGAAAGATCTCTTCACTCTTCCCAAGTTAGCGGAAAAAGTTGTCCTTGACCGTTAAAACTGATGACGTCACAAAGGGTAGAAAGGACGTGGATCCGCACGGGCGGTTACGGGCGGTTCAGGGGCGAATGGGTTAAAAGACATTTTTATGGTACGTAAGGGGATAAACAATACATTAAAGTCCAATTGTGTGCGATACCACATGCATCATTGAAAAAAACCTTTCCTTTTTGTCTAGTTTTGGGCTGCGCGCGGTTTTTGTCAAAGGGTCCAAAATAGCCGTATTTGTCAGCATTGTGACGTCAAAACGAGCAAGGTGACCCCCACTTTTTATTACCTTTTTATCATCTTCTTGACTTGTTACATCAGTGTACCAAGTTTCATCTACAATCTATGTTGGGTTCTTTTACTAGGGAATCACCTTAAGGTAGGAGTTCCTCGTCAACCCTTAAATCGAATCAAAGCACTTACAAAACTTTCTGCACTTAGGTTCGGCACCATTTCCATATGAACAGATCGTGATGTAGCTTTGAATAATGCTATGTAAGCCTTAATCATCTCCTTTTTCTTCAGCTGAGAATACATCCATGACATACAAGGGTTTGGCGAAAACTACTCCAACACGTGTGAAGGCGAAATCATCATTTAACCGAAATCCAGGCAGAGGAGGGGGAGGAGGAACTGCATAGCCTTGGCCTTCAATTTTCTTTATAATAATAACTATTTATTCACAAATTAAAACCATGGAAAATTGAAAAGGAGATAAAGGAGGTTATCTCTTTCTAGTCTATCTCCTCATAATAAAATAAATTACGAGCATTAATTATATTTACAACTGTTTAAGTAAATATAAAATAATTACAAAATATATTACACGCTTGAAGAACTAAGTGTTCCCCTGACTAGAAAAAATTACAAAATAATGTCTCATCACGAAATTTTCTAAGACTCTTTAACTTCTTCTTCTCCGACCCGACCACGTTTCATTGCTTAATTTTAGTAAACAGGCAGCGTAAGACAGTCTTAAAACCGATGAAATCCAGTTTTCCAAGAGTTCCCGGGTCTCGGCATAAATGTATAAGGCCTACTCTGGGACCTAAAGTCGCCTAAAGTCGCCCAAAGTCGCCTTAAGTCGCCTAAAATCGCCTTAAGTCGCCTAAAGTCGCCTTTAGTTTCCTTAAGTCACTAAATCATTCAAATCTTAACGAGGTTCAAATTGTCTTGTAGTTATTACTTTTTTAGTTTTCTATTTCCAGAATGCATGATTTCTCATAAAGTGTGTAATAACCCATGTTCAATAATATTAGCCACAGACCCACCCCACCCCCCACAAAAAACTCCCACGGTGACTTAAGACCCATTAATTTCCTCTCCAGCCCTCTAATTTATACATTTAATTACCTTACACAATTTACTACACTTAATAATTAGTCGTAAGCAATACAAGAATAATCATTCCTGTATTGTTTATGCAAAAATGACAACATATAGTACACAACTTTATCCAGTCACTTGTACAGGTATTTTATTAATTTCATCCGGGAGGTTTGTCTCATATTTCTCAGTAAAAATATTGTTTAAAAAGGCATTCAAAGGTTCAAGTTCTAGCTAAACTACATTAAACAGTGTGCAAAGAGAGTAGACAGAGTAGTGTCCAGGCAATAGCCCTGGGGTACTGGATTTTATGATTGGGCTAGTGAACTGCGTTTTTAACTTGCCTGGCTGGCAAGTAAAGTTTTTTAGGGAATTCAGATTACAGAAGAACTGTAATCAGTCC